TTTAACACTATTTTAAAAGCTAAATGACTGCAGAATTAGATAATTGTTTCAGGAAATACTGTGAAATGTTTCTTTACGATGACACTTCATAAACATAATTTTTGGATCTTTTCAAGTTCTTATCAGCTATCTCTGAGCAAAACATTAGATATCAAAGGCTGGTTATCACTATTATCACTTTAGAATAAAATCATTCCTCTTCCTTAAAAAGCTTTGGTTACTCACTCTCCCAGGATGCCATTGGATATTGAGTGGAACGACACCATCTCTACTTTGTCTGAGTAGTTAGGTCCCATCTCAAAAAGGACCTTTTTGTAAGAAAGAAACTTTTGCTCCTGTCCAAACACACTGTCCTGGTACACCTAAAAGGAGGTGAAAAGGTAAGAGAAAATAACTATTTCTAACAGTAAAACAAATAAAATCTATAATTTACCACTTTATAATGTACTTACCTCTTCAACTAAAAGAAGGAGCTGCTCTGATGCAGGAAACCGAATCACTCCTTCTATAGTTTTAAGGTCTTGTACATGACCTAACAGAACACAAGATATTTTTTTATTTGTCTTTGAATAAAATATGAATATTAAAAAAAATACAAAAACATGTGCACGACATAAGAACAGAAAAAAAAATACATAAAAAAAAAATTAAGATTAAATATCTAAATTAGGATTGAACTTTAAAATGAAGTTCACATTTAGAAAAAGTTTCATATAAATGTTCTTTGTTGATGAGCGTCATGTTTTTGGGGTATGCAGCCTTCTTTGCTTGCTCCACAGAATACCAGGACTCAATCACAGAGTTCCTTAATTCCAGTCCCGGAGGTCCTTAGTAAAACACCTTTTAGATGTGTCAAATAATCAGCTCATTTGCAGGAGTCTGGAGAATCTGACTACATACATATATCCACCTTCTGCACACTTTCTTCACCACTCAGAGGAGCCTGATCAGTGGGAGATTGCTCCTCCCAAATGCAGGACTAACAGACTGCTGAACACAAGCCAACAAGCAGCACAACTCCTCACTTGGTGGAAGGAAGAGGTGTTAGGAAGAGGGACAAGGGTCAGCAACCCCCTCCTTAGATATCTTATGTAAAACATTACCTATTGTCACTCGTGCAATATTCTACTCTCTCCCTGTGCAAGAAGACATGCCAATACTGTGTAGCCTGTGTAATTTTTTACTTATTTATAATTCAGTACATCTCTGCACTACAAGTGCAATAATCCAAGTCAACTAGTGTTTAATCTGTATATTTTTTACTTATTTATATAGTCAGTACATTTCTGCAGTGCAAGTGCAATAATCCAAGTTAACTGTAGTCTTTCCTTAGCTCTCTACTGTGCAGATAGTTTCATATCTAAAGGAAACATATTGGACATTACAACTCTTTAATGTTTGTTTCTTTTTGTCCTATATACACTCTTTTTATACTGTATGTTGTACTTTTATCTTTAATGCACCCTGCATTAACTCTGCCCTTTGTACTCTATATAAGCTACTGGAACCAGAATTTCTCTGAAGGAGTAATCCCGAGGGATAAATAAAGTTGAGTCTAAGTCTACTGAGGAGGTAATTCGGCCATTTGATCTGATCTGAAAAGATTGGAGCTGGAATTAAGGAACCAGTCTTAAATCGGAGGATCAGATTTTAGTCTGAATGACCTCTGCCCGGGTCACTCCAAAATCTTCATATAAACTTATATCAAAAGAAAAATGTTGGTAACATTAAAATTACTTTTAAAATCTGCAGGGGGTTTCAACTAAAAAAAAATACTTTGGATCAACTTAAAGAATTACTGTAATTTGTTACATTTAAATATAGTACTTTTTCTCCAAAGAAATTTACGAGCTGGGTGAAAATATATTTATTAAAAATGTTTTTTTTGTTTGTTTTTTTTTACCTTTAGACAAAGAAAGAAACTGCATTCATACAAAGTAGGACTATAACTTATAACATAACATAAACAAGTTTTATGCTTTGATATAACTTAAAATTTTAACTTGGAAACAACAACAATACAAAAAATATTAATTTACTTTTTAATAAAGATGTGAAAAAAAAAATCTAACTTCCAGCAATATTTGTTGACCACAGAATTTAGAGCCGGGCCTTTAGTTTTCAACATTGCATAAATCAATAGTTTTATCTTTTAATTGTTTATTTAACAAGCTAATGAACCTGTAACGCCTCAGAGTTCATAGAAAATTGTTTTATTGTATGACATCTGAGACATTTTAATTAATACCTGCAACGTTTTCCCCTCATAAACATTTCTGTGCTAAAACTGAATAGACCGTATTAGTTGTAACGTAAACCTTGCACATGGTGTTGCAGTGGTAGCCATACTTATTTTTTAATTAGGCGGGTAATGAGGTCATCTTCACATGAGTTACCACATGTGAAAGGCTAAACCCCTGGGGAAATTATTACCTTTTGACTTGAAGCAGATATTTGCTTGGAAACTCGATTTTTTTCCCCCCATGATTTCTAATTCCAGGTAATGTGAAGTTATTGGTTTCAATCCACAAATATCTTCTTTTTTTTTTTTATGCGGAACAACATCACATTTTAAGTTGACCTATTGAAATGGACATTTCACTTCTTTCATTGTTTAATTGTCTATTATTGATGGTCTCTGTGCTTCGTACCTGTGGGGTTTCCAGGGTTACTTATGTAAATGGCTCTGGGCTCACAATGCCCCTTGGCGGTCCTCAGAGCTCGTTGCAGCTCTTCCAGCTCTAAGGCCCAACCTTGCTCCTCCAGCAGCTGGTATGGTATCAGTTTGATGCCAGCCTCATCCAGCAGCATGGGCAGGGTGTGTGGACATGGCAAGGGGGTCAGCACACCTGCCTGAGTGGGCCCCTGTCCACTAGACATCAAGTGTAGAACCAACTAAAAGTAATGAAAAATAATAGACCGAAACATTGGATGTTGTATCATAACATTTGATTTTCCAGCTATAACTGTCATACCATTAAGGTTGTCTGTGAACCGCTGGAGAAGATGATGTCCTCTGGATCTGAAGCCACACCGCCATCTCTCCTTGTGATAAACTCTGCAATGCTTCTCTGGATTTGAGGTATCCCACAGGAAGAGGCAGAGTATGAGCCTGTCATGGGTAATTAGATTACCTTTTAGAGCAGAAACTGCCAGACATTAATGATATAAGTCTGTTTCACCTTACCAACGCTGCCTCCATTACAGGCACCCAGCAGCTTCTGCGCCCTCTGGCGAACATCTGAAGGAAAACTGTTGTCCTTAAGAAGCTCAGGGTACAAACAAGCTGCCAAGACCTTGGTGAAGCAAATAGATGGCAGTAACAGGGATGAATTTTTAGGGATGATCTGAATGAAACTGAGAAAAAGGTGCAAACAAAATGTTTGGGACCAACCTGGCGAGCAAACGAGAGTGGGCGCATCCCTGTCCTATGGGGATCTCCTGAGCTGACATCAATCACCCTCTGAAAAGGTTTCTGCTCACCCTAAGAAACATGTCAAAGTTTACGAACTTTATGGAAGTGCATTAGGTGCTTCCTAGCATCTAGCTACCTGCGTCCAGCTGGATAAAGTTAGTATGAAGGAAATGCATGAAAGGAAAACGATTATTTGAACTTGCTCAGCCCAACAATTCAACAAAAACCACAATCCAAAGCATTGTGTCTGTATGTAACCCACTTGTCTTTAAGCTCTCGTGAAAATCTGGTTTAGTTTTAGGTTGTTAATCAAGATTTATCTGTAAGTAAAGCTGGATAGTCTTTAGACTATAAACTAATAATATTAATATCTTTATCGCTGCGTTCAAGGCAGCATATTTTTATGAGCAGAATTTAAAGTAACCTGTGAACTGAAAAGGCTTGTAGCTAATCAAAATGTCTACAGCTGCATCAAATACGTTTTTTCTTCAAGTTTTTTATATATGTTCAAAAGGCTAAAAAAAATTTCAATAATTTTATAAATGAATTAGATTTAATATTTACCATTTGACAGCAGGTATATATAATATTATATTGTGCATGAACAATATTGCAATGCTTAGAATATTTGAATCACTAATAAGGCCAAGTTTCAGTCATTGTTCCTTTTAATGTTTTTTAAGAACTCTAAATCTCTGAAAACAGAACCACGCCAGGAAAGATGAAAACTTGTACAGCCTGAATCCAAAGGACTAAAAACAAATACGAATCAACTCTGCAAACATTTAAAATTAAATAATCCTTCAATTGAGTTCTTTATCCTTTAAACTAGAGGCTCAAATAACTCAGTTTAATATCAAAATACCAAAGAACAAGATGAGACATTTAAAAGTTATAGAAGTTGGCATCTATGGAGATCAGAAACCTAAATAAATCATACAAATTGATGAACAGTGTTTGCTCCCATTATGGCCACAATAGTAACAGGATTGTGAGTTTTACTGCACTGACTTTTCTCCTCCTGAGAAACATGAACCTTTAAAATGGTGGTTTAATGTAATTAAAGTTTAACCAAGAGGGTACCAGACAAAGTTTCAGTTTAACTTTAAGGACTCTGTATAAACCTCTGCCGATGAATAATACAACACAGATATTTTATTTTTCCTTTAGATGCCTACACAGTTTAAAGGACTGCCCTGTATTATTTGTGATAACACTTGCCAAAGGCTAAGTGGGGATTTTTTTATTGCTCAACGAACGATTAAGTCGGGATTAGAACTGTAAACATGAGGGATCGTTTGAACCTGTTGATGGTGCTTAGATGACTCACCTTTGCAATCTGTTGAGTGATCTGTGCAGCGAGACCCTGCAGGTTCACAATGTTTCTGATCCCACGGACCTTCGGGTTTACCTGCTGCATAGAGCTCATCTTTGTTCAACTAACTGAAGGAAGACTAAATGCCCAGCTAGACAGGAAGGAGGCGGGTGTTAAAGAAGGCAGAACCAGTTGTTTATGCTGAGTTTTTTTTTTTTTTTTTTGACAATTCAATGACTAAAACACAGATGTGTTGTTTTTAGTTTCTTACCTTTTGTTTTTATTAAATTTTTAGGAGTTAAGGCCTGAATTAAAAAAAACAACAATGTATTTGATGATTTATCATTTTCATCAGTAGATGTTTTGCTTTGATTTCTCTTAGCAAACACATAACTCATGAGGCATTTGGATTGCTTTGCTGCGATGAATGTGGATCCATAGCAAAGTCATGGTCATCAGGAACGTGGAGGAGCTGGACAGGTATGATCGATCACCACAAGCTACCCAAAATACCTCATTTATCTGACAGCAGTGACAGTGATGGAATAACTCAAAGAATTCCTGATCATTCCCAAATAAATTTTATATACATGTTATAGTTATTGGACATAGAAAATTACATATTGGACTATTTTTTTTTCAGTGTTAATGACAGTTACTATTGTTACACTTAGGAGACATTTATAAGACTATTCACAATTATTGCCATATCAGAAATTTGGATTAAACCTAAAAAGTAATGGATTATGAGCTGATTGATTTTAAACTTCATTGAACTTCAGTTTGATTTGTTAATGAGATTAATTTGTTTAAACCAGCACATTTATCAAGTCATTTCCAATTACCACACTAGTTTATTTGAATAGTGCTTTTCTTATTTGATTCTATGTTTTGTCTATTGTAGCACTCTTTTGTCTAATACAAGGCAATTATGTTTGTTGCCCAATAAAGCTAACATCTAAAACATGTCCGGCACAGAGCTAATATATTTATCATTCAAATATGTTAACATCTCTGTCAGCGAAGCGAAGATGGAAGGTAGAGAGACGATAAAGAACCTCATCCAGGGTGTCAGGAGGAACCAGAACACATAATCTAAAGGAAAGTCAAAAATTGTAAATATCAATATTTGTACTAACAAACTATTCAGTGCTGGATCTAACTTAGATGTTTCCTACCTTAGATGATGGCTGCCAGTTCTTTCATCATATTGGCCTGGTCCTATGATCAAACCCTCCTCCTGCAGCAACATCTGGCAGTAAAACACATCTGGTTCCAGTCCTAACATCTGAAAACCCAAACATGAGTAACAGTACAATAGGACAAAGATTTTCATTCCATTAATTTTCTTTGTTTCATTTTTAAGCATGTGAATCATGAAGACCATATTATTTTAACTTACTGTTCTTCATGTTGTCGATCACTTTGTTTTACGTATTAATAAAGACTCCACCTGTTTTACTAAATGCTAGTTTTAAATTCTTTTCGGCACTATATACAATCATTTGCTAGCTCATATTTATTTCTGATGACTTGCATGCATTTTAAAACATTTGATTTTTTGGGATATAAACAAATATTATGCAAGACCAACTCTGACATATTTAAAAATAAATACAGAAACATGAGGAGGGGTGTTTCTAAGAGGGTCAACTTCTGCCCATTGGTTGGTTAGCTTTTTACTGCATCGGTCGAATCTACAGGAGGAGAGGAGAGACCCTCTTAGACACAGCCCTCCTCATTTACATAATGAGGCAGAAATGCAGACAGAAATGTAAAAAACGACTGGCAGAAATAAATAGCATGGAAGAAATAAAGAGGATTAAAAAAATACAAAGGAATAATAAAACAGACAAAAATATTATATCATGCACATCAATAAATACTTGAAAAATAAGTAATAAATAAATAAAGTTAAAGATTATAACGGACATTAAAGAAATAAGATAATTATTACAAAGGCGAATAAATAAAGAAGCTAATAAAAAGATATATACATTTATGTCTCACTGTATAATTTAAATTCTACCTAAATTTATTTTTTTTATTGTATTTTTGGGGGCAATTAATTGTATGCTTATTTATTTATTGAGCATTTATTTAATTGTGTATTTATTTTTAAATATGGCAGAGTTGGTCCTCCATAAAATATAACCTATTTATAACAGCAAAGTTAAACTTTTGTATTTTACATTTTGAATTTTGCTTCTGTATTTTGGTTATTCAAGAATAAGAAAAAAAATATCTAATTAAATGTTAAGAAAATAGAAAAAACTAAGAAACCATGTTAATTCAAGCTAACGAAAGGCACTACTGGGTTATTGAGAGTTAGCAGCAGTGTCTAAAAATGTAAAATAAAATATAATTAAATTACATTGTTCTTTATAAACTATAATTTTTTAGCTTATTTGTTCTTTATAGATTGGATCAGCAGCACTTCCTGAAACACATGATGCTACATGGTGTGTGTGTCCTCCCATTTCCCATTGACATGATATTTTTCAGAAGCAATATGTTTTGTTGTTGTTTTTTTCCTAAAGTGTGTGTACTTGGTTCTTGGTTGCTATATCTACTGCACCTTTCCACACCTTGGCTTGCCTCCTGAACTCAGGAGGTAGATCCAGATGTGGGTAAAGGTAGATTCCTCCTATCGCAGGCTGGCAGCTTATTCCTGGTAGATCGTTCAGCAGCTTCAGAGACCGCTGAGCATTTCGGGCCAGAGTGGCTTGAGTCAGGAGAGTCTCCTTCAATGAAAATATCATCAAAGACAAGACTGTAAATAGGTGAACAACGGGAGCTGCTGATGAACCTTTGGTTTTGTTCTAACCTGAGCAAATGTGTTATATGAAGGGTCACCCAGTTTGGGTGGGTTGAGCATGAGATCCAGGGCAAGTTGTCCTGTGACTGGGGCATTAATGTCAGTGCAGAGCAAGGTATCAACATAATGCATCACCCCGGAGTCAATGTTGACCACCTCCATGTATCCTGCTCTGAGGCCACACCTACACAAATCAACAGGAGCTGATTAAAATACTCTGAGCTCAGAAAAGATAGCAATCTTCTAGAAAATCTATTAGCATACTTATTATATTCAAAATACTGATTATATTTTTGTTTAATTATTAAAATATACAAACATGTGTTCAGTAAAACCTATAAGCTAATATTTAAAAGATAATTTTAAGATTCCAAAAAAAAGAAATTCAAAATTATTTTGTAAAAAGATCTCGAGAGGTAATTTAAAAAGTCATTAAAATCTTTTTAGAAAGAATATAATATTAGTATTTTGCTGCGATTTTCCTTGGCTTAATCTGATTATCTAATGACATGATATAAAAGGTAACAGGAACTCACTCTGCTACAAAGGCACAGGATAAAGAGTGGAAGGACACAAGCTCGACAGAGTCTCTCAGATGCTTTTCCATCTCAAAAAGAACCTTCTTATATGAAATAAACTCTCTGTTTGGTGCATAAATGCTGTCCTGATATACCTGGAGGGAGGAGAAGAATAGCTAATGGATAAATAAAATGATTCTTCTGATGCTGAAGCGGTATACAATCATCACCTCATCAACCAGCAGCATAAGTCTTTCGGCTGCAGCGAACTCTATCACTTCTTCTATTGACTTCCTGTCCTGCAAATGTCCTAAAAATGAGAAAACATCAGCCACAGTAGTCTGAAAAAGATCTTTATTTAACTTGTGTGCAATAAAGGATGTACCTGTTGGGATTCCTGGGTTGCTGATGTAAATTGCTCTGAGCTCACAGCGCCCTCTGTAGGTAGTCAGAGCTTGGTGCAACTCACTCTTGTCAACAGCCCAGTTTTTCTCCTCTATCAGCCGGTAAGGTACTGCCATCACCCCGGCCTCATCCAGCACTGGGAGCAGTGTGTGTGGGCAGGGCTGAGGGACCAACACACCTGTCTGATGCTGCCCCTCCCCTCCGGACAGCAGCTTTATAAATACCTTAAAACAGAAACAGAAACCTTCTTCACTGAGCTAAACTTAGAAAATACTTTAACCACTATCTTATCAGATTTTATAAAAAAAAAAAAAAAACTTAATGAATAAATAGATACATATTAGAAACAACTGAGAAGCAATAAAAAAAAAGAATGAATAATGTAGGACATAATTAAATTAATACACGATACTAAGTTAAAAACTGCAGTTTTATTTTTCTTGCATATTTGATTTGACTTAACGTTTGATGGCAGATAAAAAAAAGATCTTTGTTTTCAACTTCAAGGAGGGAACTATAAATCAGACATTTACAATCAAAACATTTTAAATATTTCTCTTTACCACATAATTGCCTTGATTTAACCAAAATAATGCAAAAATATTGCATGTTCTTTAGCACACACATTGATAAGTCTGACTTAATATCAGTCAATCTTATTAAACACTTCTAGGGTTGTGGGAATTAATTTAATTTTAGGAACATTTGGAACACAATTGTTATGAGGGACATAACCATTGCTTCAGGAAAGCAATAAAAATAACACAGCAATTTAAGCTTCATGCTTTACTTAAGAAGCTGTATATTAGCAATTTTTGTGATTTGTATGCAGTAAAACCAGAGAAACAGCGCTTATTAATTGTTTTTGTATTTAAACACAAATAATGGAAAATCTCTTATTTTTAGTAATAACATTTTTTTTGTTATATCTTCCATTATTTTATATTTCTAAGTCAGACTTCCAAAGTTCCATTAAAAAAAAACCAGAACCCCGCCTGATGAATGCCTTCTAAGCTATGAATTTTCTACTAATTTGCTCATGGCTTTATAAAACAATAGATTCTTGTGATTCTTGATCCAGAAGACAAAAATACTCTTGGGGAAATCAGATGTTGCTGAGGACTTCTATTGCACATGATTGATAAATCTTTGAAAATACAGAGAAATCTGTAAGTATTTGTATATCTTGAGGTTTTATCTAAGCAAACACATTTTTATGAACATGTTTCTTTACATTTAAATACATAGAATATGTAATAGGACACCGTGATTAATCTATGGTTACCGGAAGGTAGCAGCATAGATGTGTATTAATCTCCCTAGTTTCCTGATTTGTAATTACACTGTTTTTTTGATAAAATCATTCCCAAATCTGACCTCTAATCAAATTAAGGAAAGCATGATATGCTTATTTGGGATTTGGTCCTTTCTTCAGGTTAACTGTAAAATAATCAAATAACAAATTGTCCCTAGTATTTATTCAATAAATATAAAAGCTCAAGATGTTCCCCCTGGTTCGATAAATATTTTTTCAGAAATACATGATTTAGATGCACATCAACTCTAAACCAGGGGCAGACTAAGTACGTTCATCCTTCGGATTTAATGGAAAAGCAGATCGAGAATTCTCTAATCCAGTTAAATTCAGTTCGTCACCGAGTCATTTTTCCATGGAGTTTTTTTGTTTATAAAAATTAGATTTTCTGTTTAGTTAATATTTGTTTCTCATTTTCTGGAACCAAAGAAGTATAATAAAAAAATAATCTGTTTTTCAAAATATGAAATTTATTTAAAGAGTTATAAATGTACAGATTAAAAAAAAATGTCTGTCCTCATGTTATGGAAACAATTGCAGAACTAAATTATAAATGTATTATTACAAATGAATAAAAATTGAAAACTAAAAGTTTGACTGACTTAAATTCCCAACCTTAATACAAAGAAAATCTGAGAAGCCCTTGAACTTCTGTGAAGTTACTTTTTCAATTTACTGTAAAGTAGTTGTGTTTACACAATCCATGTTGGGATCTGGAGGTCTGTCCACCTTTCTCCAGCAGAGGGCGTTCTAGGTCTCCTGGAGCTGAAGCTGACTACCACACCTGCGGCTCGTGAGCTCATCAGGAGACCGGCATTTAAGGAGAGGCAGAGCAACACTCCGACGCCAGAGTGTTTTGCCAGTTATGGTTAGCAAGCCTGAGCCAACCTGCCTGTCTGATTCTCTGACTCCCTTGAAGCCTGAACCTAATCTGTTTTTGTCCTCTCTGTTTCTCAGGAAGAACCTTCCTGAAAACCTGAAACCTGGAAGAGTTTCTCAAGCGTGAAACCAAGCAGTCTGTTCTCAGTAGAACCCTGGAAATCCGAATCAGTCTGATACCTGCCTGCCCGCTCTCAGAAAGAACTGAGAGAGAAGCTCTGAACCTGCTCTGTAAGATTTACCACTCAGCCCTGCCTCTGCCTAGCCCTCTGCCTGCCTTCAGCCTCTGGACCCTCCTGGTTCCCCCCTTCTACCGCTCTGCTCAATTTCTGATCAGTGAAAACCAGTCGTGACCAGACCCGGACCCGATTTATCCCAGAACCATTGTTCTTTATTGTGATCTGTTTTCAAATAAACTTTGTGAACTTTTTCCCAGCCTCTGAGTGTTCTGCATGTGACTTAGATCCCTGAAGACAAACATGACAATCCATTTAAAGCAGATGTCATGGATTACTCAAAATTCTAATAAATTTGCACCAAGTTTGCCAAATTTTTGTAACACTGTTAATAAAGTCTTGTTTTAAATAGTTTTTTTCATAGTATATCGCTGACAGTATTTTATCTTAATTGACACATCCTTCAAGTTGCTATGCAATATAATGATCCCTATAACAATGGTATTAGTGATGTGGGGAAAACTACCATTAAACAATAGTAATAGTAAAGACATAGCATAGTATTCATACCATCAGAGCTCTCTGATGTCCAGAGGAGATGAAAATGTTCTCGGCGTATGCAGGAACACCATCCCGTTTCATGATGAACTCAGCAATGGTTTGTCTGACGTGAGGCAGTCCAGATGAGGCCGTATAGGAACCTTAAATCAGAGGAAAAATCTGCTGTTTATTGAACTTTTAAAAAAAAGTTGGTGTCAACATAAAACATTACATTTGGTGCAGTAGCTGGTTGATTCAATGACAGGGATCTAAAGAACCCAAACTGATGTCTTTAAGGTTGCTGGAATTTGATAGAGAAATCTGAGCTCTCAGTAAAATTCAAAGGTTGGTAGAGACACTGAAACTTCATTGTCAAAAAAAAAAAAAAATTTAGTTTTTACTTCAGGTTGATGGCACTTTTGCCCATAATGAGATATAAAGTGTGTTATTTGGCTACTAAAGGTGGACAGTATGCTAAATCAAAACTCTTAAAGCCAAAACTAATTTTACAAAGTAAAATAGGCTGCTAAGAGAGATGGAGAGACTAAAACAATAAAAAAAAACATATATAAATACACAGCACAATGGCAATTTAAAGCAAAAAATCTATTAGATTTCACTTATTTGCTGCAAAGGTCTTAAAAGGTTGCAAAGTGGAGCAGCTTCTTTCTCATCATCAATAGAGGAGAATAAGAAAAATCCTAGATTTCTCTTTAAAACTTACTTGTCCATCCCCTTTCTCTTAGTAGTAATGATTTTATGGACTTTTTTTAAAAATAGAATTGATTCCATGAAAGATACGATTGTTTGAACCTACAAATATGATTAATTTATTTTCAAAAATAAGCGAGAATTTGTGGTAAGTATAGAATCTAAACTATGTTTGGACTGGTTTGATCTCTTTGAGCTTTCTACATATTATTATTATTATTGGCTTCATCAACGCTTTAATCTTGTATGTGAGATCTGGTTCCAAACAGACTATTTCAGGAAGTTCCACGTCCATTTTTATATACTGTAGGACAACAGACAAAAAACATTTTCCCGTCATTAAGACTAGTTGGTCAGGAAAATGTAAACTTGATGTCTAAGCAAGTATATTCAAATTAATATAAAACATTTAAGTTTTAGTTCTATAACAATGTGATAACTTTTTTTCCTTAAATGCTGTAAACATTGGATAAAAAAATGCCCCTTCTTTGATTGGCTTGTGGTGTGGTTCATTTACATATAGAAGCTGTATCTAAATGTCCACCCTAATCAATATATAGGGCACTATATAGTGTTTACGCCCTTTTAGAAGAGTGTCCGAATGTCTAGTGGATTAAAAAGTAGTGGAATCGAATTTTCTCAAAATGAACATTAAAAAGTAGAGAACATTCAAATGCTGCGTTAGAATTCAGCGGCTACATCCTCCGAAGGCCAGATTCGTTGGCAGATTACGTCATAGAGTGACACTGAGGCTTGTTTAGGTTGGAAGACTCCAGTACATGGCCAATTGATGCAGTCTTCATTTAGCCCGTTTTGAAGGACGTGTCTGGTGTGTCCTACTTTGTCTTAGGTATCCCGTGATTCATTGCGAGTCCAAAAAAGCCTGCAGCTCTGTGCTCAGAGAACAAAGATAAATGTTGCAGAACATTGGCAATTATTGTAATAACAGTTTATTATAATACAAGTATGTACATAGTTCCATATAAAATAAATGACTATAATAAATAAATGACAATAGATGTGCCATGATTAATGACGTTCAGGTCGGATGAATGCACCCTGGCTGTTCAGACACAGCTCGCATTTTTAAATATCGGATACGTATCAGATTCAGGACCATAAAGCCAAGGGCCAGAGTTGCATTGGAAAAAAAATTAGATCTGTGCTGCTCAGATTGTCATGAAAGGATCAGATACAGATCGGATATGAGCAAAAAAAATATATATGTAAAATTCTTAAATTCTTACCCACACTTTGACCATCACAGGCCTCAAGTAACTTTTGAGCTCTTAGCCTGACGTCCAGAGGAAAAATTTCTTCTGTCAGCAGTTCAGGGCACAAACACACTGCAATTACCTGAGAAATAATACCAAAAGCATAGGGAAAATAGCACAAAGTAAAAATATAGAAGATTTTAAACAGAAACAGTTACTATGACTGTTTAGAGAAACTTTTTTTTGCTTGTTTTTAGGCTAACCATATCAAGGATGTTTCTGTTTGCTAAATTATAATATAAAGAGAAATTCTTTCATTGAAAATGTTATTTCTTCCGTCAGATTTAAAGGTCAGCCTGATCACACACCTTTCCAGGTGTGCCGATTACGTACATTACAAAGTACGTCCAACCCCTGAAAATTGTGGGAGGTCAGTGCAACAGGATGCCATCCATCTTTCCTTACTTTATATAGTAGTTCTTCATTATGCATAGTGCATAAGATCCGTTGTTCAGGCACTACTTGCAAGTGTTTATTGGTCAAGCTTAAAACTGGAACGCATTTAACAAGGCTGCCAAGCTTCCCGCACTAAGTGTGGCAGTCACTCAATTTGACCCATTTTTACGAACCATGTCACAAATTATATTTGTCACGCATATTTCTACATCATTCAATATTTATTTAATACAGCTGGCCATTGTTAGTGTAACTCCAATTGACTGACCGAGATAACCAATCCAGCAGTTCTTTGTGTCTAAATCTAACCAACCACGGAAAGCAGCACATAATATAAACCAATCAGAGGCGACCTAAGGCAGGTCTTGGTGTCTCTTGCTGTCTTACACACACAAGAGCTTCGACATTTAAATCGCATTGGATTGCTCTCTTATTGCTGGAATACAGATGGTAGCTGGCTACTAATTATGACCACTGTTGATTTGTTGTATTTGCTTGAGTTCAATAAATATGTACTAATTTAATGCTGCTATAATTCTATTTTTTCCTGTAGTACTAGCAGATCTTTGCACACTTTATTTACCTCTTTTCTTGCCCAGTTCAGAAAAAGAATAGACTCCAAGGGTATGCTGAAGTTTATTCTTCAAGAACTACCATCCTGTACATTTTAGATGCATCTCTTCTCTAACACACCTGAATCTAAGGGCTGAATTTCCTCATTTAGCTCAGCAGAGGCATGTTAAGGAGCAACAAATATGATTAATGTGTTCTGTGTGTGTTTTCAGTACAGGGGCAAGGACCAGTTCTAAAGGGGTGCTGGCCCCTGCTGGACCATCTATAGAACCGCCCATGTGGCAAACATATCTGGCACCAGCACTGATGGGTTTTTTGTCCCACCATCAAATATAAATTTTCGCAATCTGATATCTGTTTTTTTATATTTAATATATATCAGCCTCCTAGCTCTGTCAACAAGGCATTAAAATGTGTAAAAAACATGACAGTACGGATGTCTTATGTTATAGGATGCCATTTGGTTGTTTTTTTAGATGAAATACTGTCAAACGAGGGAGATCTAGGGATCTATATTTTCATGGAAAGGTCAATGTTACCAAAAACAGTCATGTGTTCGAATATGGTAACCGAAAATCCAAATATTGCTTCTCTAAGAATTTGTAAAAAGCACTTACAAAAAGAAACAAAGATATTTTTTTAAGGAACATAACCTTAAAACATTACTAATGATATAGGAACTTAATTTTTATTTTTTTTTCTTACTTAGATAATTAGGTTTTTAACTTAGCTTATATAAGTTACCAAAAGTGGTAACTCAAACGATAAAGGGTTATGTTTAATCGAATAACATAACAAGATGGATTTATGTAAGTTTGGTTCAGGTAGAATATTATCAAAAGAGGTATTTGTTTTAAATATTTGATCTTTAGCTTTTGTTGAAAACCATCATAGCTTCCCCGGGTCCGTTGATTCGTGTGCAGGTCACTTAGATGGAGAGAAATAAAGACTGCTGGACAACAAAGCTTTTCTTTCGCCTCTGCAAAGGGAGAGCAGCAGCAGCAGCTTGCATCTGCGAACAGCAACTCTGACCCGCTGTGCAACACAGGCTCTTTTTATTATCTTCGTCAAGGAGAATCAGACCCACAAGTCCCACAAGAAGTTACCGAGTGATCGTACTTCCTACATTCCTATCCCCATGTATGGAGTTGTTTCCTGTTTTTCTTCTCCCTTGTTAATCAGCTTTCTCTGTGTGTGTGTGTGCGAGCAAGGTCATTCTCAGCCTTCCCATCTGCACATGTTGTTTTGTACACTCTGTCCTGTAAATCTGCCCTGATACATATGAACAATAAGTTTTGCTGCAGCTTTAACTTAGCTCTTTACTACTTTTAGCTTAAACATGTACCGTATTTTCACGACCATAAGGCGCACCGGACTAAAAGGCGCAGTCTCAGTTATGTGTGCCATTTCTGTATTTAACACACACATAAGGCGCACCGGACTATAGGGCGCGTTTTTTATATAAAGGTACATGTCCTCTCAGGTGGATTTTCTCACTTAAAAACATATTAAAACTACTTTATTCCCACTGATCACAGCAAATAAAGCTGCAAGGTGTATTTATTACAAAGTATTATTCAAACCTGGGAACCAGCCGTGAGAGACACATCGCTGATGACACAGGGCTGCGATTACTCCTCTGATACAGTTTATTGACGCATAAATTAACTTAAAACATAGGCAGGATAATAATCTGGATGAACTGTCTGCAATGATTACATTTTCAGGTGGACTTTCTCACTCAAAAAGATTTAGATTATTTAGATGAAAATACACCTGCGGAGGTGAGCCCTGATGCGCTGCGGCCCAGAGGCTGGTGTTGAATTAAGTTTTCAGGTAGAAAAATAGAGCGGGAGCAAAACTGAGTATGATTGTGCTTTATTCAAGTATTTATTACAGAGTATTAATCAAACCCATCAAAGTCCTCATCCTCTGTTTCTGAATTAAACAGCTGCGCTAAATCCGACATGCCAGTTTCCCCTTCTTCTTCGTTTATTGACGCATAAATTAACTTAAAACATAGGCAGGATAATAATCTGGATGAACTGACTGCAATGATTAAATTTTCAGGTGGACTTTCTCACTTAAAAAGATTTAGATTATTTAGATGAAAAAACACCTGCGGAGGTGAGCCCTGATGCGCTGCGGCCCAGAGGCTGGTGTTGAATTAAGTTTTCAGGTAGAAAAATAGAGCGGGAGCAAAATTGAGTATGATTGTGCTTTATTCAAGTATTTATTACAGAGTATTAATCAAACCCCTCAAAGTCCTCATCCTCTGTTTCTGAATTAAACAGCTGCGCTAAATCCGACATGCCAGTTTCCCCTTCTGCGCTGTCAGTCACTTTCCGTGCAGCGCAGCTCCTCAGAAATAATGCCGGCTTTTGCGAAAGCTTGAACAACAGAGCCAGCAGACACAGTCCATCTACAATCCATCCGCAAACTGTGGCGTAACTTGCCCGGCGCTGCCTTCTATTTATCATGAAACTGTGGTCTCAGTCTGTCATCCATCGCTCCCACGCCGCTCGCAGCCTTATGCTGCGTTCACACCGGGGGCAGCAAAAGCAGCAAAATCGCGTCTGCTGCTTCATTTTTGCTGCTTGTACCAGTGAATTCTGACGCGCGTCTGAAGCAGCTTTGCTGCTCTCGCTGCGCGGTCCAAAAGTGTGTCTGACGCACGTTGGGCGGAGCTTCACTATCCTTTCTCTGCCTTGCAGCTATATTTGCTGTGATCAGTGGGAATAAAGTAGTTTTAATATGTTTTTAAGTGAGAAAATACACCTGAAAACTTCATCAGTGGAGTCAGTTCATCCAGATTACAATCCTGCCTCCCAATATTATTTCTGTCGGAGCCGCTCAGACCCCCACATACTGGCGGTGCGCCGACAGAAGGAATCCATTCATCAGCAGCCTCTGGCCGGGTTGCCTCCTCGCGGTTTACCGCGGTGGCTGGTAGGTGTTTTTCATCTAAATAATCCGATCTGCAGGCATCAGGATAATAAAAGCGAACATATTCTGCCGGCAGATGTATATATTTTAAGTTAATTATGCTTTAATAAACTGTTTAAGAGAAGTGATCAGAGCAGTCTGTATCATCAGCGCTGTGTCTCTCTCACCAACCAGCTCCCAGATCAGCTTCTCTGATTGGTTGACGCGGCGCGTCGAGCAGCAAAAATTCAATTTTTCCATCTCGAGCAGCAACGCGTTTGCGGCGCGTCACGCGCGTCAGATGCCAAAACGCGCCCGACGCGCTGCTTCGAATGCTCAGACGCGCTGCGCTTGCTGCTCGAAACGCGCCGCGGGACCTTTTGCTGCGCCTTGACGCGCGTCAACCATTGACTTTGCATGTAAACTCGCTGCTTCTGTCGCGCCAGCTGCCCCCGGTGTGAACGCAGCATTACTGTGAACGGCCGCTTCGATGTCGAGCGGTGGAAGCTCCTTTGTCAGACCCCCGGGATAACGGCGAGCACAGCGTTCATTTGATTCATCTTTTTTTCACATCGGCTGTGAGATGGGCACGCAGCGATGGTGATGCGTGGAAAAAACCACCTAGTCTTCTCACATACACCTGCCTCAGCCACGCATCCACCGAGCCTTTTCATTTGCGTTAATGTCATCAGAGCGCTGTCTGTCTCGCTGCCAGCTCCCAGATCAGCTTCTCTGATTGGTTGATGCGGCGCGTCCAGCAGCAAAACTTCAATTTTTCCATCTGAGCTGCAGCAGCGCTTAAACGCTCCCGACGTGCTGCACCAAAACGCGCTGCGGGACCTTTTGCTGTGCCTATACGCGCGTCAACCATTGACTTTGCATGTAAACTCGCTGCTTCTGCTGCACCTGCTGGGTCCGGTTCACACTGATGTCGAGCGGTTGAACAGCGAGCACAGCGTTAATTTGTTTCCCCATGTTTTTCACATCAGCTGTGAGATGGGCACGCATGGAGTTACATATTAACAGCGATGGTGAGGGGTGGAAAAAAAACACCTGGTCTCCTTACATTCAGCCACTCTTTCATCATCTCCTCAATGAGGTGGTCTCAAAAGTCGCAGTTACAACACACATAAGGCGCACCGCACCATAGGGCGCACCGCACATTTTGAGGAAAAAAAAAGACGTTTAAGTGCGCCTTATAGTCGTGAAAATACGGTATATATATCTTCACTTTACATCTATTTAGAGGGTTTTTATTCACCTTCTGCCTTGCCAATGCTTATATTCCCCTGTCATAGCTGAATCAAAGCATTTTCCAACATGCAAATGTGATGATAATGTTATCTAGTGACTTCCTGACCAGCCAATAGCAACTTTCCTTGCTAAAGAGTTGCTAACAGTGGACACAGATGTAATTGCTGCATACTATCATCTCAGATGGGACCAGATCCTTAGTAAAGACATAAGTGGGATGCTCAAAGAGTACTTGAAAAATAATTAAAAGGAAAAAGAAACCTTTTCTTTTTTCTGTTCTCTCGACGGATATCCATTTTATGCTTTTGTAGTGGATCTGGTCCACAGACATAGTTGCCTACCAATGTCTATGTCTGGTTCCATATGTATTGATGGTTATCTCTCTTCCAATGTGTCTAGAGAACTTTTCTGTCTTTGTGTGTTATAATCATGTATGTGTTTGCAGCACATTTGCATTTCCTGCTCTCTATATTTTGCGAATGCAGCGTTTTTCTTATGCATTTGTTTTGTGTGTTCTTCGGTTCATCTCATTTTTGTTTTTGCAAGCCTAGGTTTTGTCTTTGCAGTACTTATTATGTTTGCTTAGCAGTTTTTTATCCGCATCATATACGCACCCCTTTTGCCAACCTAAATGTCTCGTTACTATTACAAAGCAGTTTATAAATCTGTCAATGTTAAGAAACTGATATATAAATAAATTATCATATGTTAATCTCCAAAGGAAGCAAACATGAAGAAACTAACCTGCCGAACAAATGAGATGGGTCTCATCCCTGCTCTCTGTGGATCACCACAGCTAACATCAATCACCTCCTTGAAAGATTTTTGCACCCCCTGTAGGAAATCCTGTTTTTAGGCACAATAGGACAGCATATTTCCTGAAGAAAATGTATTCCTGTCTATTAAAATAAAAGGTTTAACAGTTCATTAGAGGCTCTCTTGCATGTAGAGGGGATTTGTTATCTTAAAGTTTCACTCTGATTGTAGTTGGTTGTAAATTGCTTAAATTCTCTGATCTGGTAGAATTTTAAGCCTCACAATGTTTAGAGCTAAAAATAAACAGCTATCAGAGAGCATGCAAAATTCGTTTTTTTAAGAGAGAGTCAGTATATATTTGCAGAAATAATCTCAATTTCGAGATCTGATTTCAAGAAGTGCTTTTGAAGTAAATTGAAATCAATTTAATTAAATCATTCATAATTAGGAGATTTTAAAAAATCTGATAGACATAGACAGTAGTTGTCATTTTTGTGACCATGTTTCTAATTTTTCATGATTGAGCCATAGGGTAGTGATAGAGTTGACTATATTTACTATAACTATCAATGAATCCTTGCTAAATGAAAGGAAAAGGATGGACTTACCTGGCCGATGGTGAAGTTCTCAACCAGATTCTGCAGTGCACTGTGAGATGAGATCCGGATCCCTCTCACTCTGGGATTCACATCTTGAAGGGAAGTCATCTTCCTTTTGCATCAGATTAATTTTAGTGAATACTTGTGAGATTTGTAACCTTTTGATTTCGAGTGTTCTCCAGGATTTTAAGCAGTTTCTCTTTCCACATTACCCTTGCATATCAAATGCTCACCTTCTTTAATTTGAGACTTAGTCATGTTCATAGAAAGCGCTAGTTTCTGCTATAACAGGGCTATTGCATGTTTACACAGTTCCAACTCAAAACTCTTCTAAGATGTTATCCCTTTCCCAAAAAAGCATAAATCTGACAAGAACTAATTAAGGGGGATCACACCCTTTCATATCAAAAAGTTATCAATCTGTTAGAAGGTCTTGAAGTATGATAGCCCAACCCAGCCCAATTGTAACAGCATAGGAATTAGAAACCAGATGTGTCGAAACAAAAAAGAAATGTTTAGCTACAATCAACTTGCTCAGAATATTATGTGAAATAAAGACTTCTTGATTAAATTGGAATCTGTTACTGTGCAAAATCTCACAAGATAATATTAGGGATATGATTTATTTTTGATAAAATGTTCATCTAAAAACTTCTACAGATACATCTCCTCAAAATATGAAAAACTTAATGAGCAAAGTCTTTTAAATAAAGCCTGTTTTGATAAGTGTCCTGAATTTAGATAGTAATGGTACCAAAAATGCATATATATATATATATATATACGTTATACTGTTATACTTACTATGATTTGCAGCAATGAATGTTCTTATGTTCTTGATTTGATGTGTTTTCTCTAGCAGCTGCTCCAATGTTCTTGGTGAAAGTTCCTGACATACTGTTCAAAGAAAATTGGTTGAATGTATAACTGATGAACTACAGTTATTTGCTCGTCCGCTGTTAACTTAGTTTAATGTCTAACCATCTTAATTATTTCAGCAGGACCGGATCTTTGAGCCGGACTTTGAAAGCACTTGATGTTCTGACACTTTTTTGTCTTCATGATATGAAGTCGTTACATGATTAACCCAAGATACATCAGTCCTTATAAACTGAAGCAGGACCAATTTTATGACACATTGAGGTCCCTACAGGTTTGAGCTGAGTTGGGAAATACGGTATCTATGGAGTAGACATGTTCATCCAGGTCTGGGGAGTTGAGAGGCAAGGGACATTTCAAGGAATACTTTTATGAGCAAAATTTTCCCAAAACCTCAACAAAAAGCAGCATTTGTTTTTCTTGTTTTTTTCTTTTTTATGTTGTTAAGACAACAAGAGTCAAAACATGGTTTAAAAAATTGTCTTTAACAACATTATGGAGAATTTAAGGCCAGAACATTAAAAATATCCTGATTGGTACTGCTGAATAATTGTAAAACTTGATGCTGCCCTGTGTGTAAGGCTAACCCTTTATAAACTGCTCAAAAAAACTAAAGGAAACAAAAACTAAACAACACAATATAACTTCAATTAAATCAAACTTATGTGAAATCAAACTGTCCACTTTGAAGGCAACTCTTGGAGTGATTGAAAATCATTTTCACCTGCTTGTCTGCAAATGGAATAGACAACAGTTGGAAATGATTACCAATCAGGACACATTCAATAAAGGGGTGGTTCTGCAGGTTGGGACCACAGACCACTTCTAATTACCTATCTTTTCTGGCTGATGTTTTGGTCACCTTTGTATGTTGGTGGTGCTATCACACTGGTAGCATGAGACTCACTCTACAACCCACACAAGTGGCTCAGGTAATGCAGCCCATCCAAGACAATGCTAGAACTCATGTGGCTGGAGTGAGTTAGCAGTTCCTGCAAGGTGAAGGCATTGAAGCTATGGACTGAAGCTCCCCTTCCCCAGACCTGAATATGATTGAGCACATCTGGTACATCATCTCTCAATCCATCCACAGACTATCCAGGAGTTAGTAGATGCTTAAGTCCAGATCTGGGAGGAGGACCCTCAGCAAACCAACTGCCACCTCATCAGGAGCATGTTCAGGCATTGTAATGAGGTCATGCAGGCAAGTGGAGGCCACACACAACACTAAGCTTCATTTTGACCTGTTTTAAGGACATTACATCAAAGCTGGATCACCATTTAGTTTGACTTTCAACTTTATTTTTGTTTGTGACTCCAAATCCAGGCCTCTGTTGGTCAATATATTTGGTTTGCATTGAAGATTTTTGTGGGATTTTGCTGTCAGCACATTCACCTTTATACAGAACAAAGTATTCAGTAACAATATTTCATTTATTCAGATCTAGGATCTGTTATTTGAGTGTTCCCTTCACTTTTCTTTAGCAGTAGTTTGCAGATAAGTCAAGTTTCAGAACACATGTTGAATTCTAAATGATGCAAAAAATCTGCCAAAGAATGATCAATGGTTTACAGACGCAGACATTAAGGTGGTTTTGTTATGTACATCTCCTGTGGTTGTAAATAATTCCCTACATTTTTACAGCAGCCCTCTGGCTGCAGTGAGTAGGGGATGTATTATAAGCTCAGATTCCCATCTAAAGGCGAGATCGTGTAGACTGCTTAGTTTTCAAATCCAGAAAAAAAATTGCCTGATTTAAAACATATATATATATCTTTCCTTGGCTAATGATTAATAACTCGGACTGTTTTCCTTAAATGCTGCCCCACGAGTTTCTGATTCTTCCCCTCCTGTTGGAGAAACCATGTAAAGTAGGAGCCTCAGAAGAAAAGTGTTCCCTTCTTACGCATCTTTGTGCTTCCTGACTTCATTTTCATATTATTATTTTTTTGTATAGCTGACTAGTTGGCATATGCAGTGTTGAGTCAAGGAGAGCATTTTTTTTCATCTCAACAGAACCACAGAATTTTGCTATTCTGTTTGTTTTTGTGAACTTGGTCTTGTCATATCACTAGGTAGTGGTCAACTATAGTCAGTTTTAAAGGGCTGTATGTTTTTTATTTTTTATTCTGTTATTCTTCTTCTTGTGGTACACATTTATATGCGCAACACTGCTTGTCCTGTCTTGTTTTTACAGGTCCAAATATACCAAATTTATAGTACAGTATGACCGCTTTTACATATAAAAGGGAGAACATGCAAACTTCATTAGGAAACACGAGTCACCTGGTCTATTGCTGCGTAACAAAGAGACAAACTGAAAATAAAGTTTAATTTGGAAAATGAAACGTTTTATAGAAACCTACACATATAAAGCAAAACATGAAAAAACAGAACTATCCCAGGATTTGACCCCAGGACCTTTGTGGAAAAGGATGCTTGATTTATAGACATTTGTGTCCATAAAATAATTGCGAAAAACAGATTTCAATTTTCTGAATTTGTGTGAAAATACTTCTCACACAGTAGTGTATATGTCAGGATAATGTGTATGTAACCCATATGGTTACTGATGTTTTGCCAGAAAGTTTTTTCTGAATTCCCCTTGTACGCACCACCGTTCTCCTAGTTCCACTAAATGCATCATACAGGTGCTGGTCATAAAATTAGAATATCATGAAAAAATAGATTGATTTCAGTAATTCCATTTAAAAAGTGAAACTTGTATATTATATTCATACATTACATACAAACTCATATATTTCAGATGTTTATTTTGTTTAATTTTGATGATTACAAATGACAACAAATGAAAATCTCAAATTCATCATATCAGAAAATTAGAATATTACTGAAGACCAATAAAAACAAAGGATTTATAGAAATGTTGGCCAACTGAAAAGTATGAACATGAAAAGTATGAGCATGTACAGCACTCAGTATTTAGTTGGGCCTCCTTTGGCCTGTATTACTGCAGCAATGCGGCGTGGCATGGAGTCGATCAGTCTGTGGCACTGCTCAGGTGTTATGATAGCCCAGGTTGCTCTAATAGTGGCTTTTAGCTCTTCTGAATTGTTGGGTCTGGTGTATTGCATCTTCTTCTTCACAATACCCCATAGATTTTCTATGGGGTTAAGGTCAGGAGAGTTTGCTGGCCAATTAAGAACAGGGATACCATGGTCCTTCAACCAGGTACTGGTAGCTTTGGCACTGTGTGCAGGTGCCAAGTCCTGTTGGAAAATGAAATCTGCATCTCCAAAAAGTTGGTCAGCTGCAGGAAGCATGAAGTGCTCTAAAACTTCCTGGTATGTGGCTGCGTTGACCCTGGACCTCAGAAAACACAATGGACCAACACCAGCAGATGACATGGCACCCCAAACCGTCACTGACTGTGGAAACTTTACACTGGACTTCAAGCAACGTGGATGAAGTGCCTCTCTTCTTTTCCTCCAGACTCTGGGACCTTGATTTCCAAAGGAAATGCAAAATTTACTTTCATCAGAGAACATGACTTTGGACCACTCACCAGCAGTCCAGTCCTGTTTCTCTTTAGCCCAGGCAAGACGCTTCTGACGCTGTCTGTGGTTCAAGAGTGGCTTGACACATGGAATGCGACAGCAGAAACCCATGTCTTTCATACGTCTGTGTGTGGTGGTTCTTGAAGCACTCACTCCAGCTGCAGTCCACTCTTTGTGAATCTCCCCCACATTTTTGAATGGGTTTTGTTTCACAATCCTCTCCAGGGTGCGGTTATCTCTCTTGCTTGTACACTTTTTTCGACCACATCTTTTCCTTCCCTTCGCCTCTCTATTAATGTGCTTGGACACTGAGCTCTGTGAACAGCCAGCCTCTTTAGCGATGACCTTTTTTGTCTTGCCCTCCTTGTGCAAGGTGTCGATGGTCGTCTTTTGGACAACTGTCAAGTCAGCAGTCTTCCCCATGATTGTGTAGCCTATAGAACTAGACTGAAAGACCATTTAAAGGCTTTTGCAGGTGGTTTGAGTTAATTAGCTGATTAGAGTGTGGCACCAGGGGCCATCAATTTTGAACCTTTTCACAATATTCTAATTTTCTGATATGATGAATTTGAGATTTTCATTTGTTGTCATTTGTAATCATCAAAATTAAACAAAATAAACATCTGAAATATATGAGTTTGTATGTAATGTATGAATATAATATACAAGTTTCACTTTTTAAATGGAATTACTGAAATCAATCTACTTTTTCATGATATTCTAATTTTATGACCAGCACCTGTATGCTTGTCTGAGCAGACATGCAAACGGGTGACCTGAGCTACAGTACTTTAGAGATACACAGTCAAAACTTTTCAGTCTTCCTTTGCAAGACGCACTTTAACAAAAGGAATCTTGCTTTGGCCCAAAACTTTTTTATCTATCATAAGCCTCCAGGCACCACAAGGGAGTTTGTTATTCTCCTCTTCTGTGGCTCAAACCAGTGTTCTGTCAGATCAGCATACCCATGGTAATACGCATGCATGCACATTGCCATACGCTTCAAAAAACACCAAAAAACTAAGTAATTAAATTGTACATAAAATTTTTTGTACATGACTAAAGGGATACACGCCCATTGAGGTGGTCTAAAGACTATATTTCATATAAAACTAAAGGGATACTCATGCGTTGAGGCAGTTTATACTTTGTCTTTATTTGGAAAATATGAAGTTTGTGCTTTTTAATTGTCCTTTTGGATCAGTGTAGATTGACCTTGAGGTTCTGGCACCTATGTGCTGTCCATCACCCCTCAGTTCACAATGGTTCCTGCCTAACTGCCCCTATAAAACAAATCTGGCTACGCCTCTGGATGCAGAGTCCATTAAAAAAAAGTCCAGTATGTTTTTTTTTATAAAAAAAAAAGTTGGAACAAAAGTTTAAATGAAAGACTAGCAGCCACATAAGAAAAGAATAAGCAGTGATACAGAGACTGGGAACATTTCTATCAAAGTGCAAATTAGAGGGCAATCTTTGTGGAATCTTTGTGATCATGTGTGCTTCAGATTTGTAGTAATTTTGGTTAAATATATAATTCTCCATTTATACAATAAACCAAAATAATAATTAAAATAATCCTAGCAAGACCTTTAGATGGCAGAATAATTAGCAGATAAAATGATCCAAAAATGCTTTAGGAACACTTTCCTTATCTTTTAAAAAAGTTTTGATTTGGACTTTGAGTCGAAAACATTAAGTGGTGTACGGTTACATAAAGCCAGTGTGGAGTATAATGGTGATTATGATATAACTCCAGTCTAAAGTATAAGAGGATTAGGGAAAGAATTGAGAGGGTTATTGATTAGAGAGCAATGTTAAAAAATGAATCCTTTTTAACCACTGAGAAGATTTTCAGAGACGAAGGTAAGTGAGCTATAAACAAGACAATCCTGTTTCATATTCCAGAAAGTTAAGAATAGATGAAGCGATAAAGCTATTACCTACAATTGACTGATCATGGCAGAGAGCAAAAAATGTGCATAGAAACAACTATTTTTACTGTAAACCATTTAGGACAAAACTGACTGTAAAACTGCATCTTGTGGATGATTGGTAAAAATAGAATAAACATCACTTTTGAAAATGAAACAACTACATTTTATCTGTAAATCTGTTTCTGGTAAGCTAGAGTATAGGAATGAGTTATGACATTTTCAGTTTGATGCTACATTTTTTCCACTCAAGAGTCAAACATAGGGTGTGTAAGAGTTACCAGGTGAGAGCAGGAAAGAAAGGAGAATAAACAAAACGGATGTCTACAATTGCTGTTAGAAACTCTGGAAAATATGGCGGCTGTGGAAACAGAGACTGGACAGAAGATCAATGGATCATTTACTGTAGACTTTCTGAAAGTACTGCAGTAAATTAAGTGCAGGAAGTTAAGATGACATCAGGAAACAAGCAGAGGACAATGAGGTTAACAGTAATACACAGAGCTGGTATGGTGTCCTTGAATCTAAGCCACCCTGGAAAATTTTACTTTTCTGCTTTACCTGCTGATATTCCATAATTTCGTATACGTTAGAATATTGCTGAAAAATCAACCTATTTCAGGACTAAAATTCACATTAAATTCATCCATTCAAGTAAAACACTAAATATATATATATATATATATATATATATATATATATATATATATATATATAAGTGTTTTTCCCTTTCTGTTATGATGGTGTTCTACTTGCAGCAACTGGCAAAATGTTTTGGATTATGGTATAAATGAGCAATAAAGGAAAAAAACATTTTTTAGAGAAATCCTACCTTTAATCAAATACCATTCACTTCCATTTATATAGCTCCAGTTCACAATATGTTATCTTAAGGTGGTTTATAGAGATAATTCAGGCAAATCATACAGATTGTATAAAAGTTTTTTAGCAGTAACCTAACATGACATCCTCTTGGATCACGTCAAACTTTTGTTTGATGATGGATTGAATTTGTTTGACTGTACTTAATTCAGTCACACTGGAAATCCACACGTTCAAAGGTACAAAGTGCAACTAAAGGAAAAATATTGTACTGACAGAGACTAAACTGCTGTTTGTCTGTTTAAATCAGTGAGACAACCTGATTTATTTACTTAGTCAAACCAATCAAGCATGAGGTTGCAGTTTAAATGAAAGTACGTCTTAAACCTAAAGTATTTATACAAAGAAAAACAATTCAAACCAAACCTAAAAGCTAAATTACCTGGGGTCAAATCTCTGAAAGACATCAGACATCTATTTTATAATATTTCATCTAAAAAGAAAAAGATGCATCAATTCCCTTTATCTGAAAAACTAAAATATATGTGATCAGACAAAATATCTGCAGTTAAAGCTACAAGCTATATTCTATTGTAGAAAATACAAAGTTACAAATATTTTGGATTAAAACAAGCATGCTCTTTATACTGTTGCATCCCTTAACACAATAAAGATCGTATAACATCGAAATGGAGGCATATTTCACTATAATTGTGCTTTGGATCAAAGGTGACAGCATCAGCTAAAGTTAGCGTTGCTGCTACATTTTTTTGATCCACTGAATTATTTTATGTTTTCCTTTTAAAAACCATCTGATAGCATTTTTTATTCCATCTAATTAAAATTGTTTTTGTTTTGCTCACCTCTCCTGCATTTTTAGAGTGTAATTTATTTCATGAAACACATTTGATCATTTAATAACTAAATGTACTCCATGAAAATTGTATACATTCCAGCTTTTTTTTTATTGAGAAATTTACAAAGAATTTATGCTTATAGAACTAATGGCACTTCCTTTTCTATGTGATTCTGTCAGAGATTTGAAAGAAGGCAAAGAGCTATAACTGGATTAATTTATTGATTTGCATGTCTAGAGAGAAATTTGACCGATTCTAAGGTAAACATTCTCTATAACTGTCAGGATCCCTCTCAGTAACACATCAGATACATGCTCCAGGTCAAATAATTAACAATAAAAAAAATCATTGATGCCAGTACTTGTCTAAAGCTATAAACAATCAGAAAAATATCTGCTGAGGTTAAAAATAGTATCAATAAAACTGTTTTTGTAAAAAAAAAATAAAGCATATCTGAGCAATATTTTTTGTTATGTTCTGTGTTAGATCAGCTGCTCAGAGGGTCTGACTTCAGTAACTTTGCCTGTACAAGTTTCTCTCATCAATATAACTGGATAGGTAGCATTTAATGGACAATACCTTAAAGGTATAGTAGAGGGTTTTCATGAATTTTTTAAAAGACCCACCCTCTCCACTTTAAAACAACAGCACATGCACCCTGTAAGGTGTGCGAGAGCATGCATGAGCCCATTTCTCCTCGTGCACGATCTGTTTAAAAGTTTATGTTTGCATCGCTCATTGAAGCTTACTTTCCAAAAGATTTGTAATTTTTCCAGTATGTCAGACTCACCACCATTAAGTGAAAATGGGGACGAGCATGTAGGAGGGCCTTACGTAACCATATCACCAGAATGATCGACAATTAGGAGGACCACTTATTTTGATGATCCACCCGGAAAAACAACATCCTCCACTATACCTTTAACCTTAACAACTTCCTGTAAAATCTCTAGTTTCTGTATATAAGTAAAATAAAACGCTGAAATGCTGCTTTGACTGTGACATAAACTTGAGGGAATAAATACAACGTGTCATTTAATACTGCTGCTGTTAAACTACATCTTTATAGTCTTTCTCAGCCTTTAACATTTTATCTGTCATCCTGGATCATGTTTTCAACCTTTTTTGACAAGTGGGAGAAAGTCGGCCGCTGATCAAAGTCATAGGTCCAACACTCTTTCATCAAACTGTACACCTGGAATTATTAAAGGAAAAATATGAGATGTAACAAATGATATCCGTACAGCTGCAATGCTCATTATCGAGTGTAACTTACCTTGGGAGGGCAGTTTGGAGGAGCTGGTAACCTCCAGTTATTCGCCAGCATGTTTGCCAGATGCATTGAAATAGATGTACCCTGAACGTTTTGCCCAATCTCCTGCAGACAAAGCTGCACAGAACAATTATTATTTTAATTTAATATAACCTTAGATGCTGTCAATCTCTGAAAGCAATAAGGTCCTTTCCTCTTACCCTTTTGGGATTAAAGCTATTGTCACAGTAGGAGAAGAGCTCATGAAGAACAATCCCAAAACTCCAAACATCTGATTTGTTGGAGAATTTATTCTCATTAAGGCACTCTGGAGCTAACCTGGAAACAAGGAGGTTTAATTTAATGTAAATCGAAGTGAAGCCTGAAATAAAGAGACAATAGAAGACATAGTAGTCAGCACTGATAACTAACAAGAAGCAGAAGATCTTTAGCTGTTTTTCCAGAGGAGAAATAATAATTTTTGTCAATATCTGATTTATCTGTTATCTTTTTATGACCTAAACAATATATTGCATAAGAAACATGTGGCATTTTTGCAGTCTGTAGCTTTAGAGTAAATGAGAGCTCAACTGTCTTTTATCGGCTTGTCATGCTTTTGCATTGAATCCATGCATTGACCCAGGTCTATGCATTGGTGCTGATCCTCTATCATTGTGCTCAATGTAGTAACAGCTCTAAATACTTACCACATATTAACCTTTTCAGCTCAACTTATTCCCTAAGAAAATAACACTAGTGATACCCAGGCGCAAACATCTCCATGAAAAGAAGCAGGTTTAAGAAAAATTTTAACTTTGGAAACTAATTGTATGTTAAAAGCTATGAAACAAAGCAGCTAGCGACACAGACAGAGAAAAAACTGTTTTTCTAGTCATATAGAAGGATGTTGTTTCTTATGGTGACGTTTAAAGAAAGATGTTTTGCTTTGTTCCTTCATTAACATTTGAGCAGGGAGGAGTTTACCAGAAGAGGGGGCTCTGTCCAGGCTGTGAGAGGCGGTAATACTCCTTGTCAAAGGGAAGAACTTTGGTCAGACCAAAATCTGCGATTTTCACCAGCGAATCGTTGGCAACAAGAATATTTCTGGCTGCAAGGTCTCTGTGGACATAACGTTGAGTCTGCAGGTACTCCATCCCCTGTAAAAGGTAAAACAGGTAAAAATACTTTTTCTTCTAAATACTTAAGTATTTGTAAAGACTTGTCAAAAATGCAATTACTAAGGCTAGACAGTGCTTTAAGCTGGACAGTGCATTTTATCTCAAAGACTTTTAATATTACACAAGACTGGTTTCACTGCTAGTCAAACATGCCTTTCAAAAGGCCATACAGGGTTCAGAGATCTGCAGCATTTTTGTTTTCTCAGTTCTATTATCAATATATTTTAAATGATGTAGAACTGGCACTTTGTATAGATACAATATTTCAGCCACTATGATGATGACGTTATGATAGTAAAGTTTTAAAATGTATATGTTTGCAGGTAAAACCATACCTCATTTAGTTTTATGTATTTGCAAAAACTGGATGTGAGCCTCACCTTACAGATCTGAGAGGCAAACAGCAGCATCCTCCTGGGGGTGATGTTATGGCGGTTAGTCCAAACATAGCCATTGAGGCTGCCATAGGGAAGGTACTCCATCACTAAGCTCATACTGAGGCGACCTGTGAAGGAGCAGTTAAGTCAACCAGCAGTGAGAATGATTCACACAGAATAAAATATATGCATAAATATTATAGCGTTTAAAGGTATGAATATTAAAATGAATACTCTAGGATATGATAATTGATTTTAGACTTTATATTCTTAATAATGAAAATTATTTTAAGTCCTGTTTTGCTATGTTCCAGTCTATATGTGTGCATGTAACTTTTACCTGCACTGTAGCAGACTCCCCTGTACTTGACGATGTAGTCACAATGCAAAACACTGAGAGTTTTAACCTCCTTGTGGAAATCCTCCAGATTTGAAACTTTGTTTGGCTGCAGCTTCTTCACAGCCACAAGCTCACCAGTATTATCACCCAAAGGATCGTAACGACAAAGCTCCACGCACCCAAAATTTCCCTGCAAACATAACCAGACTATTTGGAAATCTGCCAAACTCAAATATTACCAAACAATGAATGTTAGCTTTTGCAATTTAAACAATGCTTTCAATAATTTGTGGTTTTAAGCTTACTTTTCCCAGATGGGAGATGTAGCATAAGTATCTCTCCTCAAACTGATCATGTTGAGAAGTGCTGAGAGCGATGGACATGGGGCTTTGTGTTACCGGTTCAGTAGGGTGAAGAATCACGTAATCTATCACAAATTATAAAAACACACAAATCAGGGCCATGAGATGCATTAGAAATACAATTTTCTGCAAATATTAAGGACTCAAAGATAGAATCAGTCACATTTATCATAAGGACATTTTAAACAACAAAATATTGGTATCTACTCTAGGATATTTTAAAAAACTGATGATTAGAACATCTAAGAAAAAACACTTGTCCCTCATAGGTCAGATAATCATTTGAAAACAGCTTTAGTACCTGAGGTGATGAGGCTGTTGAGCTGACGGATGATACTGCGACATGAGGGTCTAAAGGCGGCATCATATTCCATGCACTGACTGATCAGCTCTGCTAACTCTGTCCACTGGGAAGGGGGCAGCTGCTGCATGTTCTCATAAAAACTCCTCTTCTATAGTAAAAACACAAAATATGTCTTTAGGGCTGCTTGACAATCTGAACGCTTTTGGTTTGATTACAGCGTCTTGGTGAATATGGAGAAGTGCTCCGGGCAAGGCACTAAATACAACTGATCTGTGTGTCTGAATATAAAGATCCATTTTGTCTTTTATCCTAGCTGTAATTTTTACAAAGCAATAAAATGTATAAAGTTATGTAAAAATAGATAATTTAAGCTATTATTAATGTTATGCAAAACCCCCCAAAAATGTCTGTGGTTATATAACAGCTTTGTTATCACGTAATACTAGACCTCATTTGAGATAAAGCACATCATTTCTTTTACACAGTAAACCTTCCTGTATGTGTCCTTTTTCAGCGAAAAATTAAACACGTGCTGAGTACTGGGTCTCTTGATTTTTGAGCCGAGATATAAATCCACCAATTAAGTACAATTTATAGAATTTTCAAATAAAGCAGGTTGATTTCCATAAACAAAAATAAATAAATTAAATGAAGGAGAAATAAGTTGAAACCTTAAAAGGACCAATTATCAGTGAACATTAAGTAATGGTCCCACAGAGTCTTAAAAGCGTTTACAGTCTCTGCTACATAAATGTCTGTACCTGATCTAAGTTCCAGCCTCTTAAAGGGGAGCTTCCATCGTTGAAGATTTCCCACACAGTGGCACCAAAGCTCCACTTATCACACTCCAGCGTAAGGTTGTCTGGGGTGTTAAGCACCTCAGGGGCCACCCAGGGAATCCTGTCCAGAATAACTGAAAAAGAAAATGTATCATACTAGACACTGTTTATACATTTGTTATATATAATATTTATATATATTCTTTTTTCCCTTTTTTTTTTTTTTTTTACCATCGGTGCCCATCATCACCACACTGATACCAGGGTCACTCAGCTTGATGAAGGGAGAGTTGCCCAATGAAGGGTCACCTTCTCTTGCCAGCAGCAGGTTTTTGGCACAAATGTTTCCATGGACAATGTTTTGTTCTTCCTGTAAAGCACCCAGGTATCTTTTAGACCAATCAAAATTCTGCCTATCTCTAAAGCATTTAGAGCTTTCATCTATAGTAAGAAAAACATTTATTTCTTCAGACAGATTTCCTCTTTGTAAAATGTCTTTCTTACCAGAAAGTTGAGTGCACATGCAAGCTGTTTGGCTATGCTGAGTTTCCAGCTCACTGAGACAGATGTCCCTCTTTTCAAGTAAAGGTCAAGGGCTCCGTACTTGACAAACTCCTGGACCATGATGTCTGTAACAGCACAGCAAGATCTGTTTCTACAGCTGGACTTCAAATACAGATTCTCAAACACTCACGTGAACAAGGACTAAGCTTCAGCCAGAGTAACTTCACACTAGAAGTGAAGCTTAATGTATTAATTGATGTTACTGATTATTGCAATAACTGTGATGTACTAAAATTATATTTTATTTTATTTATTGCTAATTATGTGAGTTAAAACCTGGAAAATGTGTGCAAGGCATTCAAAATCGTTACTCAAATCTAGAGACAATCTTGCCACCTGTCATTAACTTACTTTGCGATCCATGAACACTGACACCATATACATGGAGGAGGTGTTTGTGAGAAACCTGGCTCATTAAACTGGCAGCTTCAAAGAGTGACTGAGAAAAAAGTATAGTAAAAAGATACATAAATGATCCATTAAACCTTAACTTTATGAAGGTTTATATTTAAACACTCATCCTCCAAAAAAAACCCACCTCCCAGCAGCTCTTGTAAGCAGAATCGAGCTCCTTCAGTATAACGTCAGTCATGTGCTTTTCTCCCTCACGGGTGTCAGTTTTGTAGCCTTTAAAAATTCGAGTGAAGGAACCCTGTCCAAGGCTCTCACCCTGACAGGAATGAAAATCTCATGTGAACTGTTCTTTTTAAAGTACATTTATAGTTGTAATAGACTTAAATAAATAAATAAATCTGATGACATAAAGATAAAACCAAGAGATTGCATGTTAATGTTGGTGTCATCTTAAATACGTACCCATTTCAGGTCATCAAATTTGATCATGTGGATCTGAATGTGGCTGAACTTGTTTCTCTCAGGTGACGGAGACCCTAGAGCTTCAAACAAACTGCTGTTTCGTACGATTATGAGGTTTGTTAGCTCTGCAGTGACAGAAACACATATATTTACTTCTCGTTGAAAAATGTATATTTGCATACACTATTATCACGTAAAACCTTTCCTGTTTTAAGCAAATATGGATAGTCTAAATGATCTCTATGTGTTCTAATAATGACAGGGAGGGATTTTTTAGAGATATTTTATTTTTCTTGTTCAAATTCTAGAAGTGAAGTTCACTTTACAACTACTAAGCCTCAGTTTGGAAAACCCCAGATACACTTAGCTTCCCTTATCTTAGGTTCTGATAAGTTCATTCCCATTTTATGTAAATTGAAAGCATGTGTAATTTCAGGCAACATATGCATATTCATGCTTTCAGGCAGCATACCACTTTCTTTTGGGACATCAGAAGAAGTTAAAAGAATTTTTTAGGAAGATCTTCACCACAATTTGCAATTGCAATCAGGGACAAGTTACCTTGCAAGCAAGAGGACTTGGTTTGAATAGTGGCAAAGGGGGTCCCGATCCAAACCGCGGTCTGCTAATCTGTGACCTCTGTCCTAGTTGGATGAATCCAAGTATTTTGTCATAATCGCCTTTGTTACATTTAAAGGAAAACAGGGGAGATCTTAAAGCCTGAGAACACCAACCCAGCTCCGAAGTATGGTGTTGGCAGTATCATGCTATGGGAATATTTGGCCACAGATCAGACTCTTTCACAAAACAGATGGTATCAAGAAGAAATAAAATTTTGTTGAAATATTGAGGCAACTTCTCAAGTCATCAGTTGGAAAGTTAAAGCTTTGATGCAAATGAGTCTTCCAAACAGAGATTATGTTTCATTGTGGTCACCAGAAAACCCTTAGTTTTATTACACATAAAGTTGTGAGAGAGAACCTAAAAGTAAGATGTGAGGTGAACAAGAAACCTCTCTAAGTTACTCGGTTACTGTAAAAGTCTGACTCAAGTTAAACAGTTTAAAATACAGTTCTGTTAAATACTGAGATATAATGTGAATTATTATTACAAATGAAAAGAAATGGCTAATGTTATTACACATGATAGGATTGGCTGTGATTGTTTGATGAAGTCCAATTATCATTACAGAACAATCTTTTATTTAAAAAAAAAAAACATTTTTGAATTTAAGTCTTTGTCCGCTGTACCAATAGTCATATGCTACAGAGTTCTCTATGTACCTGTTAGATGAAGCACAACTTTCAAGCTAGTTTTTTAGCTCCCTGTTTGGTTCCTCAACCTTCCCAAAGTGTTTCTGAACTAACAACGTTTTTGCCTGGGAGACATACCTTTGGGTCGAGGTGGACAGCAGTGAGTTAGCTTGACAGGTATTTCAGCCAACAGCAACTTGTTGTGTTGATAATAGTTGGTGAGTTCTCTCAAGCTGGAAAATGATTTTGGCACACCAGGAAGACTGTAGCTCTCACTTTTAATAATGAGACAGTCTTTGTAATCAAGTCCAAGTGGAGTCTGCGGGAAACAAAAGCAATAGACTTTATTTACAATTTAGACTAGTTTTAGATGAAAGGTAATAACTCAAAAACAGGGACATCAACAGTATATAATGACTAATTGTGACTCTACTTATAGGTCTTTTACAGACTCTTTTAACAGGCTCATTATCCAGAAAGCACCAAAGGGTCTGAGTTTTGTCATTAGGTCAATAAAATTCACAAAAGAGCTGGAGACAGTTTGCAATTTGATAAGAATATAACACGTGAACTACCACTGTCTTTACCTGAACACAGACGGTAAGAAAGAAGTTCTCGTAGTTCTTGGGACTCTGCCGAATAAGGAAGGTACCCGCCTTTACATCCTGACTTCTTCAGCTTGTTGACTGCAAAGTCCGATCTGATGCCACAAGATAGGACCAAGATACCTTAAACAGGTTTACTGGAATACTGTCCACACTGAGCACCTGACAAAAATAGGACTCACGTGATGGGGCCATGACAATGGTTTTTGAGTCCTTCAAGGAGACTTGGTGGAGAAATGTCTTGACAGAAGAAGTGGCTTGAATCTGTGATTAGCCTGAAATATCCATCAATCAGAGACATAAAGGAAAGGGCCTCGCTGCGGCTCTGGAAGCTGGCTTCCTATTGTGGGAAATTAGCGAAAAAAGGGTGCAAAAAAAAAATTTAAATCCATTTAAATTTAATTTCTATATCTTACAAAAGTACTTACCAAGCATCTCTCATCTTTCCGAGTTATTGTGACCATCCTGCTGTCTTGTGGGACCATTTCATTTAGAATCCTCTTAATACTGATATCTACAATTTCATGGAAATCACAGAAGGTCTGCCATTCCTAAAAGAGAACTGAAATTACTGCAAAAGGACTGATTCTAAAGAAAATGAGTCATTTTCCGACAAATAGCCACAAACTACATATGATCACTGGAATAGAAGCATGCCATCTCGAAAAAATAAACAACTGCAAAAACCAGGTTATCTAGAGATGATAGAAGAATCCAGCATTTTTAAAAGCACTGTTTGTGGACCTTAGCTAAAGGACATGGACGAAAATTAGGGGAACATGTGGACAGAAAGTGTTACATATTTTATACTTTTTTCCTGCACCTCTTGACGCAACCAGCATTCAAATCCAGATCCTCCGAATTACAATCAAAGAAATTAATCTCTGCACCATGGGGGCTGCAATCTGGGAATGAGATATCAATGCCTGAAATCTGATAGAATTAAGCCCTATAAGGAAGCAGGCCCAAATAATGTTCAAGGACAGGTTATTAAAGTGTCCAAAAAACAAAAGTAGCTAGTAATCAAATTATCGAGATTTAGCTTTTACTTTGCTTAGGCCACCAGACCCCTTTACAAATTATTCAGAATTAGCATGCATAGACTAGTTTCCCCAATAAAAGAAGCGGCCTATTATGCTTTCAACAGTGTTTCTTTTCAAATAAATGGAGCTCTGGGTGAGCTGGTCTTTCTTCCCCTTTCAGCCAATCAAATTGCAGGAAATCATTGAAATTCTCCTGCGAAATAAAACAAAGTAAAAAATACTGATCAAAGCAGGTAAAATAGACTGCCTATTGCGTAGATAACAGGAAAACCCAACCCCCAATTGACTGCACATGTATACTAGCAACTAAAAAAAAAAAGTGGTAGCTGACTGCTAAGTTACAAATTTTTTATCTGATCTTGTTTGAGCTCCAGTAAATGCTTGTAGGAGCAATGTCAAAATACACCCACAGCTCTTCAGTGAGGGTTCTTCCAACTTCACTTCAGACGTAACTAATGCAAATTTCGAATGAACTCTATGACTCACTGAAGGGCCTTTACACAGGATTAGCCTGTCTTTCATATATATATATATATATATATGTATAACTAAGCCATTGGAAGTCAAGATCAATGAATATACTGGTAACAACAATTGGCAATTCTGTTCAGATCATCACAAACTTCACTAAAGGAATGATTATTGGTTAATTCAAATGCATGGATCTTTATGTTTATCACTAATAAAGTGTCTGTGGTAAGATGACTATACTGTGGGCAATGTTTTGTAGCATGACTTTTTGAATATTAGCTCCCTTTGTTTTGGCATTCATAGTGAAATGCAAAAACGTTGAAACAACTGTAGAGACCAACAAGAGACCAACAAACTATGGAATTAAAAAACTTTATCATGCAGATAAGTAATTATTAAACCCAACTGTGTAACCTTGAATGTTAACAAATATTACAATTTGCACTCACCAGGGCACCATCAGAATGGCCAGTTTGGATTCCCGTCTCGCCACAGACTCGTAGAAGGGTGAAAGTTGTGTCAGAGGAAGAACGATTGACACGGAAGGTCTCACTCCCTAGAGAGGGCTCAATGCCAGCAAGTTCAATCAGGTATTTGAGTTTCAAGCTGTACTCATCAACAGAGCATTTGCCAAGCTTCTTCAAGAAACGCTTCAGGGTGTTTCGGATTCGAAAGCGGTCCAGGCGATTTCGTTTCTGGATGTCGTGCCGATGTGACTTGGGGAGGCACGATTTATAGCTGAGAAACGGCAATCAACGTTAAAGAAAAAAAAAATCACAAACATATTATGATACTGCAAGACATTTTGCAAAGTAGTACTTTAAATATTGTAAATGCAATGCTCAAATTTAAACCTGCTCATTTGCTAGTTCCACATACGTGGTATTTAAAACAAAATCAATTACATCAAGTATAAAATGAAGATGTGCTACCCATATTTCTCCATGCATGATTAATCTTAGAACATCAAGTAAAGTTTTTAACAGTAAATACCTGACAGACTTGCAGAGCTCCCTGATAGTCTGCCGTCGCTCTTTAGCCATTCTCCATAAGTCCAACACAGCAAGGCCAAGGCATTCCTCCTGAGCACTCAATGGTGGAACAATTCCTGCTTCACTTGTAATGAAGTCACTTCGCAACTACACCAAAAGAAGCCATATAACTGACCAAAATATTCAGTCTTTTTTTTTTGTTGCATTTTTCTATTTTTGTACAACAACAAAAACAATTTTTCCTACAAAACAGATTCTGCTCGGAGATAACATACATTCAATACTTCCATCAATGTCAGTGATTGATTATTTTTTGAGTTGCGGAATGTTCTTCTTAAGTCATTCTGCAGTGGTCTTCTATCAATAAAAAAATAAAAGTAAAATTCTCCACTGTGAGATCAATTAAGACAATCAATCAATTCTTCTGATTTGAATTGAGGAAATGTGAAATCTTGAATGTCAAACTCTAACTTTTGCAATATAATTATTATTGTGTACAGTAATTGGCAATCAAAACCAGGTAAACAATCTTAATTTAAACAATACCTATACATTTTTGTAATGAAACTGAAGAGCCTTCATTTGAACTTTTTTTCTTTGACAATTTATCTTCCTTAGCAGTGTTGCACCATAAACTTTTTGACATAAAGCATTGAAATATTACATTGATTTAGTGCCTTTAATGCAAGTGAGGAAGATTTTAATGTATTTTACCTGAGCAAAAAGGTAATCTATGACATTGTAGTCAAGGACTGGACTAATTCTATCTCTTGTCAGACTGTAGCGATATGAGGTTCTTGATCCTTGGCCAAACCAGTTTCCAAAGACAAACCTGAATTCATAAACAAATCAGTTTCATTAAACTTTAAGACTTGTCACTCATCACCACAAGCCATAAAAATTTATGTAAGCTACACAATAAGTATCCGATTTTTATGACATTTCTTAATGTACAGTATACTGTATATAACACTCAGGAGTTCTAATGCATGTATTTTACAGTTAACTAAGGACCTATACCCTTCAGTTAGGGGTCTCAGATTAAATTGAAGGAGTCCATAGAGAAAATAAGCAGACATGTGATATATTTATTAGGTATAAATCCCTATATGACATTGTGCAATGATCTGAGGAAGGATGTTGAATCATTAATCCAAAACTGCAGAATCCTCTCCCAGGCAACGGAAGACAACAGATTATAAAGACTCTGTTTTAAATGGGTTTTTTTTAAAATGGTAGTCTTACCTGACTCTAAAGTGAATAAGTAAGTTTTCATCTGAGTCAAACATGTGTGATGGTGGATACCAAAATGACAGATCTGAAGATGCCAGACCAAAAAGGCTCAGGTACACTGGGAGGATTCCTAAAAAAAACAAAAAAAAAAACATAATTTAATAATTTTATTTGGTAAACCAGTACTTAAAACCCACCAGAAGCTTCCTCAATGAATGCTTACCACATTTCTTTCCTGCTTGGATGCAAACATTTTCTGCAGATATCTGTCCAGGTGAAATTTGGAATACTGTTGCATCCTTTGTGCCAGGAAAAAAGTAGACATGCACTTGTAAGCCGGTTGCCATGCTGGAGCTGGACCTCTGACTTCCCCCCCGGTCTCTGATCACCAGGGGGGTCGATTCTTCCTCTCTAGAATTCACAGGCATGTCTGGGAATAAAATCAGAAGCATTTGTAAAATATTTGCTTAAATGTAATCCCATTAAAACATTTTGGTCCCTCTATGAGTAAACATCAGAGAACCTAAGAGAAACAGGGGGAAAAAAATATGATTTCATGACAAGATGGTCGGTCATTGACACTACAATGTCTTCTACAAAAAAAATCTGTTTGTAGCATTGTTCTTTGTACTAAACTAATCATAGATATTATAACAAAAACACAAAAGTAGTAGTGAATTTGAAAGTCAAACAAAAAGTCTCAAAAAATCATAATTCTTTTGTGGATTAGGAAAAAAATATTACTTCAAATGTTTTCTTTTCTCTCATATTGCTGCTCTATAGACAATAAATCTCTAATTCTGCATATAAATTAATACAATTTGTTATACAGATCTAAAAATGAATATAAACTACATATACGTTAAACACAAGGTGGATGCTTGATTACAACATTAATGATCAGCTATTTTGCCAAGATTGGAGCTCTGCATAAGGAACTAGATGATATGATATTAAGATGATACTTAATATCATATAAGAGTGTGCTAAACTTTCAAACCAGACCTTGCTTCCAATAAACATTGCTTCAGTCTTTTGAAATGCATTTACTGATATTTTCACTGATTTAAGAATTTAAGTTAATTAAAAACCTTTCGTGCAGTCTTCATTTTGGCTTTAAAATGTCTAATGACACAAAACAAAGAGGATTATAAGAAAGAAAAAATACAAAAAACACAACACTGATGCATACTTTGACTTAAGGAGCCTTTTTAAACCTTAATGATTAACAGGTCACATTCAGAATTTGGATTAAAACCAAACAAAAACAGTGATCTTAAACTAATATTGCACTCATGAAATCAAATTCAAAATCCCGGTCCTTCTTTATTTTCTTTCTAAATATTTTTGTACGGCTAATAAGTACATTTTAGTTTGGGCTATAGACAAGAGAAAAGTCTGCATTTATTCTGGTAAAGACTGTTGGTTTTTGTATTACGTATCAAAACATTAATTAATACTTGTTTATGTAACATTGAGCTGCACTCCCACGCTGTCTGCACTTATGATGAAGAATTAATCAAGGAAGTCAATGCCTCCCCTTTTAGTAAAAAAATCCCATTAACTCAAAAAAATCTAAAAATCAAGTTGTTGTTACAATTTGTGTCATCATTTAGGGAGGAGTGTTGGCCTAGTGGTTAGAGCAGTGCACTTTTGCTCTGAGAAGGTTGTAAGTACCTTGTTCGATACCCACAGCCTGCACTCTGGGTCCCTGAGCAAGAAGCTTAACACCACATTGCTCTATGGGCACCCCATGATTGCAGCCCACTGCTCCCCAAGGGCATGGGTGAAATGCAGAGTTAAATTTCTCCAATGTGAGATCAATAAAGTTCAGTTATTATTATGAGCATTGTTAATGTTTAGAGAGTTGTTATAACGAATAAGAGATTCATTTGCATGGTACTATTTTTTAAGCTTCAACTGAGGATTCCAAAGCCATATTTGACTGTTTTTTTTTATTTAAGTTAAAGAGCCTCCTCAAGTTTGTAAAAATATTATTATTCAAAATACATTATGGATCTTTTTTTTAATAAAGATTGTGGGGGAAAAAAACTCATTAAACATTGCAAAAGTGCAAATCTCTCTGTTGTAGCTTATAATAGACTGTGACTATATGGTGTTGACAAACTCCATAATCAGGTTGCCATTGCCATTGCCTGGTTTGTTCTTGATGTCTCATCTCAACTGAGATTAGTCAAAAATGTTGAGTAAACTAACTAATAATATCAAGCTTCTAACTCCATTATATTTTAGTCAATTTTCTCTGAAAGGTTTGTCTGCTGTAATCTGTAGGTGTTATGTTAAAATTTCCATTGTGTGTCTCTGTCTTTCAGCACTTTCCTTCTTGTTTATTATTTTCTGTAGTTGTTGCTGTTATTTTTGGTACTCTGGGTTTGCTATATCAAGTCTTTTCCTTATCCTCACTATTGCCTGGTGTCTTTTAGCTTATATTCCTATCTATTGCTTTGTCTTGTCATTTAGTTATCATTGTTTTCTCATTCATTTATCCTGAATCAGTGGATAGGTTCTGTTAGTTTTATCCTTGGTTTTTCTTTTAATCATTGCCCCCAGCCAAAGCCACCAGTTAAATAGCAGACCTCATTAACCTGTGTTTCCTCATTCAGCCTATAGCCTTCTATTTAAGCACTGTTTGTTTGTAGTTTTCACTTAGTCCTTTTGTTTGCTTATTGTCTCAATGTACAGTTTTGTACCCCTCATCCATTTTTTGTACATTTGTTAGTTATGTCATTAAATCCTTCAACTCATCATGGTACTTTAACTATGGCATTGCTCTGTAAATTTCCACTTTTCAGCAAATATTTAGTACTTTGTCCATCTTCTTCAGCTGCAGCATGCTCGAGGTGATATCAAAGGAAAGACAATTCTTCTAGTTTTTTTAATTCGGTTTTTACTCAAAAAGGACATGAGACAAGTGGGGAAAGCTGCTTACTAAAACTCCTGGTCCTAAGAGGAAAACATTAGTGACACTTGCTTAAAATAACATCTGCCTTCTCAGTATCTGATAACAGTCTTTTGTGCTTCCTGTGGCTTGGCCTGTTTCTGAAGATGAGTGGTCACCTCACAGTTGTCACATATATTTTACATAATTGTTTGCTTTGTATGGATTAGAACCCAGAGCCCTCTCTGTCTCACTGGATATTATCATTGGAACCAGAAAAGTCTTTCAGAATCCCAGTAACTGTTTAAGTCTGACTTAAAGATGGTTATCCATCATACACTTGACAACATTTAAAATATAATAACTGGAACTTCCCACCAGGTTTCTGTGAAACTAATTCTCAAACTCTGCTAAATTAGGAACAATATGGTTTTACAGAAATCCAAATACAGAAATCCCTTTGCAGGCTTATGTCACATTATTTAACAACTGGGTTTTAAAAGACTTTACTCAGAAAACATATTTTACTGAATTTACACTGAAAAGCATCAAAATACGAGTATAAGGTACACTGAGTCAATATGAAGTTTCAAAAATCAAAAAGTAAGCATTCACTGCAGATACATGTAGCTGTAGCAGAACAAAAGAGACACACATGTCAATGCTGTCAGTTGCAAACTGATGTCTGACCTTTCCTCGTACATCATCTCCATTATCTACCTCTTGCTTCCACGTTTAACTCTTTAAATAAATAAAAACCTAAAGCCACAGGTTGAGCTGTTACCTTTTACATTTGTGTGTCCTTATTTCACCAATTCACCAGTCTGTTCCTGTAAGTTTGAACTCTTCGTTTTTTCAACTTCTGCGTTTCCTTCTCTGTTTGTGTCACTGTCAGCGTGTCTGGGTGTTGACAGGAAGTCCTTTCTGATTTCCTGATTTTTGACAAGCCTCAAAAAAAGTCGACTAAAACTGTCGTTAGTCTTTCATCTTTGTCAGTTTTTTATCTTACAATTGTAAAACATTTTTCTTAACCTAACCCTCCAACCCAAAAATGATATTTTATTTGACATATAAAACAACTTCAATAAGGTATACAGGACATTGTCTGAAAATAATTTGATTTCTTTTTTAAATTGAACTTCCTGCATCCCTTCCCTGCATCTTTCAATTAGTTCAGCCTTTTAATCAAGCTATAGAATCTAAACCATAGAGAATCTGACAACATTTACAACAAAAATGTCTTTTTAAAGATTCAGAACTGACAAATAAGTTTAAATTACTGTGATGAAAAGGGTGTTCTGTTGTTTTACTGTAATTTTCTAATTATGGACATTTTAAAATTGGCCATAAGTGACAATATTCAAAAATGCTTGTTGAAGAATAAGTTTCTCTTTTGCATCTCCATAAACAACAAAAGAACAATAATAACTGAATTATAATCATTTGCAGAAACACAAACACATTCTGTTCATGTACTTATATTATGATGCTTTCTCGGTTCTCTGTTATTCAATTATTATACGGCAGAAGTTGCTGTTAAGTGAAAGTGAGGTTTGTTCTTTCAAGAAATTGATTCAATCTAATATTTCAGGAAAAGGAACCCAGCTGACAAGTGTGGCTTCTCTTCTCAGCAGCGCAGCTTCCTGTTCTCATTTTACTAAAACCACCTGCTCTATACTATGAGCATTCACATCCAACTTGGTTTGATTTATTGTCATTATCTTTTTTGCATTTGATGCTCATTAATCATCTTCGGTCTCAATTTTGAGTATATAAATTACTTGGTTATATGTGCAAATTGACCTCTAAACCGTTTTAGTAGAGTTTAACCCTTTTGATCCTAAAAAGAACATTATAAATGTTTTTTTTTTCTATTAGAAATGTGTAACCATGAAAATATCCTTGTTATATGATAAGTTTATATTGTCCCCAAGTTTCCTGTTAATACGAAATAAGAAGATGATTCATCCTCCATGGATTATAAGATGCATACATGAGGTTGTGCATATTGACCATTTATTATTATGCTATTGATAAAGTCCTTTTAACCCCCTACAACCCCACTTTTTGCTCATAAGGTAATTAGCAAGTAAATGCTACAGCACTGTGGCCTAAGAGAGAAAATTTTTATTTCTTTCTGGGACACATATCACATAACGGGCAAACAAACAAACAAAAAAAGACAGACCAAACGAAAAAAAATAAAACAATGAAACAAAAACTGAGGGAATTGCCAAAAATCACAGGCTTCTGCCAAGAAGACATATTGTTTGAACTCATGTTTGATCTGAATACTTTAAATCGGTAAGGACACTTTAGCCATGGAGGAAGTGCATTAGATGTGGCTATAGTCAGTGTTTTGATTTATTTCTCTTAAAGCTAAATTTTTTAGCTACAAAACAGCTCCTGTGATCCAAAGTCTCTGTTTTTTTTTGTTTTTTTTTTCTCCGTTTGTTTTAAACAAGACACATTAAGGAATGCTTTAGTTATAGATCTACTGTCTTGTTGAAACAGACTGGTTACCCGTTT